GAAATCATTATATGGTTTGAAACAAGCACCAAAACAATGGCATCAAAAGTTTGATGATGTTGTCTTATCTAATGGTTTTGCATTAAACCAAGCTGACAAGTGTGTATAAAGGAGTCATGATTTGCTTATATGTAGATGATATGTTGATTTTTGGTACTGATTTAGAAGAAGTTGATAAAACCAAGAAATTCTTATCATCTCGTTTTGATATGAAAGACATGGGGGAGGCTGAGGTAATTCTTGGTATAAGAATTAGAAAAGGAAACAATGGGATTTTAATTTCTCAATCTCATTATATTGAGAAGATATTGAAAAAGTTTAACTTTGAGAATTGTTCTCCTGTTAGCACTCCTATAGATCCTAGTCTTAAGCTTCTACCTAATAAAGGATCTCAGTGTCTCAACTTGAATACTCAAGGGCTATTGGTTGTCTAATGTATGCCATGATTAGTACTAGGCCTGATATAGCATATGTTGTGGGAAGGCTTAGTAGATATACTAGTAATCCTAGTTCACATCATTGGCAAGCTGTGAGTAGAGTATTCAAGTACTTGAAAGGGACCATGAATTATGGTTTAACTTATAGTGGATATCCTTCTGTTTTAGAAGGTTATTCAGATGCCACCTGGATTAACAACTTAGAGGATCACTCCTCTACAAGTGGTTGGGTGTTTCTTCTTGGAGGAGGTGCCATTTCTTGGGCATCTAAGAAACAGACTTGTATTACTAACTCAACCATGGAGTCTGAGTTTGTTGCATTGTCTGCTGCTGGTAAAGAAGCTGAGTGGCTAAGAAATTTGATTTATGAAATTCCATTATGGCCCAAACCGATATCTACAATTTCTATCAGATGTGATAGTGCTGCAACATTGGCTAAGGCTTATAGTCAAGTGTACAATGGAAAGTCTAGACATTTAGGTGTTAGACATAGCATGATTCGTGAGCTCATCATGACTGGTGTGATATCTGTGGAGTTTGTAAGAACTCAGTTGAATTTAGCCGATCATCTAACCAAAGGGTTAACAAGAGATCTTGTGCACAAGGCGGTTGTAGGGATGGGTTTAAAGTCCATTTAAAATCTTTTATATTGAGATACCCAATTCCCATCTAATGTAATATTAGATGTTGAATTCAATGTGGAAAGCTTGATATTTGAAGATTGGAACACATTATTATTATCATCCCAAGGTATGTGTTCAGTACTGCAAGTTAAGGAGGTTGAAATTTTATTTCTTAATAGTTCTTTGAAAAATTGCATTTGCAGGTGTAAGAACAAAAGAACTACCTATATAAGCATGAAGTTTAGCTGCTTCAAGAAGTTAGGACTTGGCTTTGATATGCTTATTGAAGGATGGGACACAAGCTAGTAAAATATAGTGTCAAGTTAGAACTTTGAGAATGTAAACTATTGTGTATATTATCTTCATGTATTCACTTAGAATAGAAAGGGTTCAATCCTTAGTGACACCCTAATATTCGAATATTTGGAATGAATAATATACTAATGTGAAATTCAATCGTCACGATATTTCATTTATGCATCAGTTTTGTTGGTGTTATGTTTCATTTTAAGTTAATCAAGATTACACTTAAATGGGGGAGGTTTGTTGGTGATTTGTTATCATCAATGTTATTTAAGTGTAATGGGATTACTTTGTTGACTAAAAATGATCTTGATAAATATTAAACAAGTAAAGAAAGCGTGGAGTACACATTTGTTTAAGTTTGATCAAGTATCAAAGTATACTGTCATTTAGGGGCGAAGCCCCTGAACGAACGGGGGTTCGGGGGCAGCGCCCCTGGCTGGGGTCTATTTGGGTTATATTGTTGTATTAAAAATGCATCAGAAAATCCAAATTTTGAATATTTGACCCGTTTTTGACTTAGCATTAATCCTTATACAAAACCCGGATTTATAACAGTTTTGACTGTTGAGAAAAACTGTTATATGACAGTTTTGACAGTTTTTCAGACAATGAAGGTTTATAACCAATTTTTAGTCAGTTTTCTGGTACTCACGAAATTACACCATCTCATTCTCTTTCTTTCTCTCTAATTTTCTCTGGGTCTTATCCAATTGAGGATTTGGGAGTACCACCCAAATACTTCGATTTGAAAGTGTTTTATCACGATTCTCAGATTTCCAAGTGCCATTAAACCATATTTCTAACAAAAAGAACCCAAATTACTCCTTAAACTAGAACTAACACCTAGAGTCATCAAGATAAAAACTTTATACCTCCAAAATGTAGATCAAGATGCAACAAGCCTGGATCCAAAAGCTTCAAGCAATCCCACACTTCTCCAAGAAGTTCCTTCTTCCTCTATGAACACCAAAAAGCATGAAATACCACCAAAAGCTCAAAAACCACTCAAATGGGGGCAAGGGTTTCGTTTCTAGGGTTTGGAGGGATGAAGGCTGAAGATAATAGGGTTTGGTGGTGAGTTAAGGAGCTTAAATAGGGTCCAATACCCTAAATTAGGGCTTGGGTTTGACTGGAGTACGCCCAACGTACTTCTGGTACGCCAACCTACTCCTAAGAGCACCCACGATCAAATTGCTTAGTACGCCCAGCGTACACCATTGTACGCACCATGTACTGGCCTTAGCACTAGTACACCATGCGTACACATGCGTACGCCCCACATACTTTCTTTAACCCTAAAACCATGAATCTTCCGAAGGCCATAACTTCTTCGTTATAAGTTCGTTTTCGACGATCCTTATATCCACAAAGAGGTAACGAGAAGCTCTACACTTCTATCAACTCATAATTTCCTTAAAACTTCCCGAACAAAAATCCAATTTCCATAAAAGCCCAAACTGCCACTTTATCGAAATACCCGTTGGCTCCGAAACACAAACCGAACTCTCGGATCATCCAAATTACATTACCCACACCCAAATGGGTCTAAATATCATTTCCTCAAAGGCCTCAAGCCTGATGATACTCGGTCTCCGGGTCACCACCCCGCATTAGGAAACGATTCGGAACAGGGCGTTACATATTTTCTTTCTTTTTCCTTAAGACCGTCGCCTCCCATTTCCTTCCCCACAAATCCATCGATACACACTTCCTTTAAAGGAAGTGGCGGATATAATATACAAGTAGTAGGGTGCATGGCCCCCACTTGCAAGTGCATCCCACCTTATAATTAGGAAATAAAAAAAATTTGTTTTATTCATAAGTTTGACATCATGCCCCATTTGAATATATATTGGCACCCTCTCTTTCAAAGATTTCACATATTTGTCTTTTCTTTAACTTAATATACCACTTAAACAATCCTTTTTCTGTTTTTCATTTTTCACCCCATTTCACTTTTAACCCATTAGATTTCTCATCTTTATTGACATCCCCTAGAAAAACATCGTTTGTTTTAAGTACTAAGCAAGCACCACAGACCTGCTATTGTTTTTCGGTTGTTATAGTCCCCGGAAGGAATCCAGGCCACTGCCACTGTAAAAAATCACTGGCGCGAAAGGACCACCGTTGTTATTATATTGTGTTACTCCCGTTGATTTTTGGTCTGAATCCGCTACTGTTTAGAGGGTGTAAAAGTATGTTGATTGTTTCCATATTTCTCTTCATTCAAAACATAAGGAGGATTGGATATTTCAAGTAATCTAAGGTTACTCTGATTGCAACTATGGTTTTGTGTTGAAATATATTCGTGTTTGATAGATTTGCCTTGAAATGGATTTGCCTTCTTCATGCTTTTGTTGCTAGTTTCCTTTGTGTATAATGAGTTGGCTCTTATTTTCTAAGGTTTAAACCAGATTGAAGATCAATTTTCAAAATTTGAAGATTAAGATTAGTAGTTTGTATTTCTTTTGGTTAATTTGAATGAATATGAGCGTGGTAGAACCAATTTCAAGAAGATTATATACGTTTTTTGATCGTAAGTTTAAAACAATAAAATTATTATTTCTATCCACAACCTTTATCTAACAATATATTTTCATTTGTACATCTAAATCATTTGATTAAATATAAATTGGTTAATTTTTTTTATGAAATTAAGTAATTTAACCATTTTTTAATGTGTATTTGAAAAAAAAATAACCATTTTTTTTTCTTTTTTCTTTTTGCAAAAATAACCATTTTATCCGGAATGAGACATTGCAGATCAAGAACAAAATATTTTTTTTACTAACTCCGAAATGACATTCCGGATTCCGGAATATGAACAGTACTCCAAAATGCCTAATTCCGGAGTACTGTTCATATTCCGGACTAAAATTTCAGATTTCGAAAAAAAAAAATAAACTCTGGAATTTCAAAAACAAGTTCGAAATCTGAAGAACAATTCCGGAATTTTAAGAAAAAAAAATCATTTTTTTTAATTTAACAAAAAAAACTAAACAAACATAATAATATGAAGTATATGCAATATGAATGCATAAAATTAGACATTTTATTGAAAAACGATGACATTAAACATTACGAAATATAACATTGTTCTTATCCCCCTCCATCAGAAAACCTTAAATAAGAATTTTAGAAAATATAAGGGTTTTAGTGTACTAAAAAATAATATAATGGTTTTTTTAAACATTTAATTTCCTTATATCCACAAAGAGGTAACGAGAAGCTCTACACTTCTATCAACTCATAATTTCCTTAAAACTTCCCGAACAAAAATCTAATTTCCATAAAAGCCCAAACTGACACTTTATCGAAATACCCGTTGGCTCCGAAACACAAACCGAACTCTCGGATCATCCAAATTACATTACCCACAACCAAATAAGTCTAAATATCGTTTCCTCAAATGCCTCAAGCCTGATGATACTCAGTCTCCGGGTCACCACCCCACATATAAGATTATCCCTTAAAGGGAAAACCTCGGAAAAACCCAACGTATTTTCATTAAATGATGAAAAAAATCATTATATTATTTTTTTAGTACACTAAAACCCTTGTATTTTCTAAAATTCTTATAATGTTCAATTTTCCTAATTTTTTACCCACATATAAACAATGTCGGGTGGAGCCGGTTCTGAAGGAGGGGGATAAGAACAATGATAGAAGAGAGAATAATCTATAAAAGGGGCTTTTCTCCGAGTTCCGTATTTTCCTCCGATTTTTCACAAAGAAGAAAAAAAAATACGACGGCTAATTTTCAGAGGTGAGAGGATCTTCGAGGTAATCAACCGTTTTTTTCTAAATCGTCTCTTAAATCTACATATGCGAAGATATTATGTATGTATGTATGTATGTATGTATGTATATGGATATGTTTATGTGTTGTTCCTTTGAGTTGAGTCTAAGATTAACTTAGGGTTCTTGTTTGCGGAAAATCCTAGGATCTCTTGGGGTGGTGTTTGAGTGATGGCTTCGAAGCGGATCTTGAAAGAACTCAAGGATCTTCAGAAAGATCCTCCGACCTCTTGCAGCGCAGGTATCGTATCCACATCCATCGTTTAGATCCTGTTTTTTTTGTGATTGTTACTAGTTCTTGTGTTTGATCTTTGTATTTTGTTGCTCAAAGTAGTCTTATTGTGTGTTGAATCAATGTTTTATATATGTAACCTAGGTTTGATTTGTTGTTGTTGCTAAACTTTGGGGATCATATGACTTGTTGGATTTTGTTTGTGGTTGTGTGGTAATTGCCGAGAAGATGATCTTATCTCTCGTGTAAGTAGTTAAAAGATTTCTTAGTATAGCTGCTGACATGTGATTGACCAATGAAATGAGCTCTCTATTTAGGCATTCCATGGCTTTGTGAGTTTCTTGATGATTTGCTATCTTCACTGCTCACCTCATCAATGATCTAATGTTTTATAGTTCTGTTTCCATTTAGCATGTTGATAGTAAGCTAATTTGATAAAATTGAATTGTTCATAGTTCATAGTTCATATGGTTTACCCTCTCTTCTGTAAGTGTGATTTTAGGCCCAGTGGCAGAAGACATGTTTCACTGGCAAGCTACAATCATGGGGCCACCTGACAGCCCTTATGCTGGTGGAGTTTTTCTAGTTACTATTCATTTCCCTCCTGATTATCCATTTAAGCCACCTAAGGTATAATATAACCTCTTATTCAAGAATTCATTATTTTTTGCATATATATTAGTATATTGTTTACTCAACTTTTTAAACATCTCTTTTATAGGTGGCTTTCAGGACAAAGGTTTTCCACCCGAACATCAACAGCAATGGCAGCATTTGTCTTGATATTTTGAAGGAACAATGGAGCCCAGCTTTAACCATTTCCAAGGTTTGTACTTTAGACTTAATGTATTCAGACACCATTCCTCCCCCAAATGATGAATCCTGTGAAAATTGTTTGTTGAAATAAATATGAGGGGTAAAATGGTCATTTTATGAAATTAGGTTTTACTGTCGATTTGCTCGTTGTTGACGGACCCCAACCCTGATGACCCTCTTGTGCCGGAGATTGCTCACATGTACAAGACGGATAGGAGCAAGTATGAGACAACTGCACGAAGCTGGACCCAAAAGTATGCCATGGGCTAGTAGTAGTTTCTCAAACTCAAGTCGTCCTTTTCCTTTTGCTACTTTTTTTCTCAAGAAAAAAAAAATGTAATGACTAAAATGAGTAATGAATGAAAAATGTGTGAATTATGTTTTATGTAAGATAAAGAGGGTTTAAAAGGTAAAGGTAACAAACATGCTCCACCTTAAATATTTTTGTTTATTTGCTTTCCTTTCCTGAACAATTTAATCTTGTTCGATTTGCATAGCTCTTGTTTCTTGCTTGCAGTTTATGTGAGATACACAAGTTTTTTTATTGCTGTCATGTATATATCGTTATAAGTACAAAAGGAAAAAACTTAAGAAACTTACTATTCGCTCTCATTGTGATGATAGTTAAATTCTAAGGCATTCGCTAATACTGTTTATTAGAATTTTGACGCCATGAACAAGTATAGTACAATTCCAAGTGGAAAAGCACGTGAGACAATTCTCTAGGTTATTTTATTAATTTTGATTTTGATTAGTTGTGTCATTGTGTTCCATAGGTTCGACCTAGCTTTGTATGTGTTTATTTAGTAGTCATAGGTAAATTTGTTTAACTACTAAGGATAATATATACAAGAAAAATGTCATCTATTCAAGAACTAAATCCTGGCTGAAGTTGACAATTCGAGAACACATAGTTTGCGCAAAATACGAACTTAAAGAACGTTTTTTTTATTGTGATTCATGTAAACAATCCACTCACTTGTACACATCAAAGTAGGTAAAAGCTCAAATATTTTCCGAAAATTGCCTTAAACTGCTATATAGCCATTTGCTTATAAAATTGGGTTTTTTCAACCAATTTTGGGTTTTGGGCCGGGCTGAATTAGTTAACCGGTCCCTTTTAAAATTGGCTAACCTGCCACGTTGAATACGAATGGGACATCACATGACCACGACCATATCTTCAATAACCGATGAACCGATCCTTGTTAAAGCGGTTTTGGGCCAGGACTGGGCCCAAATCCCTCCAAACACCCGGACACCACACACATTCATACAGTATTCCATATTTTTCAGCTCAAACGAGCACTTGGATATCAACATTGTTTTGGGGGAACTAATTAAATTGCAATCTTTTGAGTGGAAGGGTATCCTTGGCATTTATGTTTTTAAGGTTGTTGCAAGGTTTCTTATTTATTGTTGGGAGTAATATGGATTGACATTTTTGTTCTTTTTAAATGTGATTAGCTTGAATTCAATATACATAAAGTTTTTGGTATCTCTCTTGTTATTGAAAGGGTTATTTCTAGTCGGTCTATAGCAGTTGTGTTGTAACACAAATGACTTTGACGTTGACGATGGGGTTTAATGAGATAGAATAGTGGGATAGCCATTTCAAAACATGTCATCTTCATCATTTACTCACACTCGACCATCATTTTATGTTATTTGAAACTAACAACGAACAAGAATTCTCATATAAGTGAATATTTTGCCACATTTTACAACAGATCTTTGAGATTCCAGTATATGTATTTGGGTGGTTTTGTTGGGTTTCAATTTAAAGAGTAAATTACAGTTTTATTCTCCGAGGATATGTGTCTCTTGCAATTTTGGTCCCAAAATATTCTCTTGCAAATTTGGTCCTTAGTTTAGGTTTTCGACTTAGTCCCTGATCCCAGTAAAATGGTTATATATTTAGAACCAAAATTGCAAAAACTAGCTATACTCAAGGACCAAAAAACATTGTTTTATTTGAAACATGGACCACAATCACTACAAAAACCTCAAATAAGGACTAGAACTGCCAAAGAAAGCTTTTTGGGACCAAATTAGAAAATTTAGCTATAAGCAGGTACTAAAAATGTAATCTACAATTTACTCTATTTTTTTTTTATGAAATTGTTTAAAAGTGTTATTAGTTGTTGGTTTAAAATTGTTATTAGTTGTTGGTTTTATGTAACAGAATATTTTTTTTCCATGATACACCTGCCATATGTATTTGCTTACACCATAATAGAACATTATGTAACCAGTAAAACTATGAACAAAGGAGATGGAAGTAAAGATGGAGTTCAAACTTGTGTTATAGTATAGATTTTGTAAAAAGAGAGAGCATGTCAAGATTCACATATTTTTGTGTTCATTGGAAATGTGTTTAGGATTTTCTGACGTTGAAATACTTCTTTTTTCTACAATATCCTTGTAAAATCAGTGATGGAAAGGTTTATTTGGATGCACAAAACAGAATTTTATGATTGTTATAAATTGGAAATTAAAAGAAAAATCCAAAAATAATATTGGGCCAGAATGTCCTTCACGGGCTTTGATTTAGAACCGTTTCATTTCACTCCGCTTGACTTGGGCTCCACATTTCATATTTGTTTGTTTAGTGTTTACTAACTAGCAATTTTGTCTGCGCTTTGTCGTGGGTTTTTAAGTGTTTTTGTTGCATATTAGGAGTTAGAATTAATTAAACATATCACAGCTACTTACATTGTCATACGTATAAGGTAATTTGTCTGGCCGCGTGTTGAATGATGGGTTGCATGTGTTGAACATACACGAAGTATTTAGCAAACATGTAACAACTATATTGAAAGTTAAATAGACCAATAAGAAGAGACTTACATAAAGTTTATGTCGAAACGTAAATAAACTCGAATTTATATTGACACGTACATAAAAAGAATATGTAAGTAAGATTTTTTTTAATTGACGAACGAAAGTTCAAATAATAAGCACAAAAAAGAAGCATAAAAAC